ACCCAAACCATTCTGTGATTCTATGATCTGACAAGCCAATATGCTCCATTCACGACTCGGATGCTGAATCTTTGCTGGGTACACCCTACTAGTTGGCTGTGCTTTGGCCTGCTAGGCAGAGCCCAGGAGCGTCTCTGAACATCTCTGCCTTGCTGGCTGCACAAAAAGCTACAAGCACCTATTGCTTGTGCTGATTAAATTGCAAACTTTTAGGTGAGCTTGTGGAAGGAGAATACACAGACTAAGCAAGTGTCCTTCAGCATCAGGATGCTTTGAGTTGCAGACCCAGCAGTGCCTTGTCTCCTGCTTTTGTAAACCCCCGTCTGAGTCATGGGATCTACTTTATGGCCTTAGTTCTTAACCTGGAACGTGAATCTGATGTGGGAAAGATACTTACTGACTGTGAGCCAGAATCTGGGTGTGCCCATGGTGATTAATGGTGCCAACAGCCAACTTCCTGAGGTCCCCACATGGAGATCTTCTAGGCTGTGAGCCAGCAAATCACCAGCCCAGTTAGAGACTGCAGCCAATGTCACTACCAATGACTCATGTAAAGGTAAAACTTTGATCTTAGCAGAAATAACAGGATGCACAAAGCAGTTGGATGTATCCTGTGAGGACACACCTCGTTGTTAACTGTCTACCTGCATTTACTGCTGTACAGGCAGCGGAAAGCTGTGCTTGGGATTCTGAAAACACAAAATCTTTTATACAAGAGCCTGCGCCATATATGCAAGATCCAGGATTATTTTCAATGATAATTCCAACTGCTCATTCCTCTAGGGAAAGGGAAGAAGCCATGGCATTGGCCATTCTGCTGGCTGTTTGAGGACTGCTCAAGGGCATGGATTATTTGCAGTTCCTTAGTGTAAAGAAGCCTGAAGGGATTAAACTCATCCTTTTCTTGCTAATGATGGGGCATCTCAGTCTGGCTTCAGTGTGATGAAATAACTGAGTAACGATGAATGTTTGTCTGTGCTCAGTTTGCAAGGTGGAACAAGGTGCACGTAGCCTCGCTGCTGACTCAGTCTTCAGCTGTGTGGGTACAGCTGTGGTGGGACTGCAGGAGACAAAAATGTCTGTACTTCCAGTTCCTTATAGGCCATGAAGAGAAGCCTTCCCCCATCAGTGTAATCTTGATAAATGATTGTTTTCACATGGCTCAAACAAAAGAGCAAATGAACACCAAAACCTGAGAAGTCATGGGTCAAATATGTTGTTTCCTTGGGAGCTCTTGTTCCTCCTCCAGTGTTACTTGTTTTAAAGGAGCTTTGAATTAATTGCTGAACATGCTCTTATGACTTTGTGACTTCTTTGATGGCTAGACAGAGCTCTTGCCCATGGTTCCTGATTTTCTGTGAGCCCACAATTCCCCTTCCTGTACATGTTTTATTTCTCTGTGGCTCTTCTGGTCATCTGCAAAGATAATGAGCCTACAGGATGGCTAGCTTGGAGCTAGGCTTGGTTTGGAGTTTTTGGACTTTAAAAAAAAGTCCTTTTTTTGTCTTATGAGGTTGGTTTTTGTTTCTTTTAAAATATTTCTGCTGATGCTGTGAATCTCTTAAGCCATTAATCAGCTTTCACCTTTTCTGGAAAGTCTAGTGTTCCATCTAGACCAACCCTTCTGTCTATTTGCTACTGTCTCTCAGGGTTGCTGAAGCTCTAATTAAACCAGAGATTTCCCTATCCCACCAGCAGCTGTAACCTGTAACAAATGTCTGCCTTGTTGCCGGGGCGCTCCAGTTTGCCTGCCTTTCTGTAGGGGCTCTGGCAAGCTTTTCTTCTTCCACAGAGGCAGCCTCTTAGTAAATGCCAAAGGACACTTTTTGTTCATTACTAGCAACTGCTGAAGAATTTAACCCTCAGCAACATCTTGATCAAATAGAATGAGTGGTCGCCTGCCAGCTTTGCATCTCCAAAGGGTATTGTCCTTAGTGCTTTACATTTTTACAAAAGAAATAGAAACTGTAGTAGCACTGAACATGCCTAGTGTTGATTATCTGTAACCTCAGCTCTGTGCTGGAAGGCAGGAGAGCGCACCGTGTTCAAACACCCGTGTCTATCCTTTGGGCTCTTCTGGGCTGTAGTCAAAGGAGCTGGACTTGAGCATGCTGAAACTGCAGTTCAGGCAGCTTTTACTGAGGGGTATTTAATTGAGGAGCTGCAAATGTGAATGGCTTTCTTGATAAGACTTCTGTGCTGCTGTCAGGTCTCTCTTACCCACTACAGACTACAACTCTGGGATGTGTTCCCTGTACAAGTTATGCTTGAAAACAATCCCAGTTGCTTAAACGTGGCACAAATCTCTGCTCCAAGACTTGGCTAGAAAACTGCTTGGGCTTCCCATAATAGAGGGGAAAAGATGGCAATTTCTTTTGCTGATAAGGCTGTAAACTGATCTTTACAGGGCAATCAGGTACTCTAATAGTATATCCCAGCACAAACAGCTATAGAAATCTGGCAATCTCTTCTGGCCTGTTCTCAGTCCTGCGAAACGAGTTGTTCTTTCTAGCAAGAGTCTGGCTCTGTAAGCAAAGTGCCCGTTAAGGAAATAGGAAACGTTAACTTAAGGATGAAATGTAATTTCTTGTGGTTAACTCCTGACAGCCTTGGGGGGGGGATTCTCCCCTTCTTGAACCGTTTTGGTTCATGTAGGTGGGTCTTGAAATAAGTAGGATGCAAAGTGATTATCTCCTAAAATCTGGCCATGAGCCAGGCTGCTTTAGATTGATGCTGTGATCCTCCACATACATGCTCTGTCTCTTGGGAGTATCCTGGCATGAGTTTTGTCAGAGTCTCCAGGTTATCAGACCTATTCAGAGCAGGACTTTAAAGTGCATATGGAAGACCTGGAGTAGTGAAGAGCTCCATATGTGATGCACAGTGCAGGGTTTCAGAGAGAGATAGTTCAGAGCAGGACTTTAAAGTGCATATGGAAGTGCAGGGTTTCAGAGAGAGATATTCCACAAACCAAATTTTGTTCCTTTGCAGATCTTTCTCCTTTGAGGATCTCACCAACAACTGCAGCTGGAGTGGAGAGTAGCTTTGTTTTTTACACTTCTACTCCAGGGTAAAGGGACCCCTTACAATAAAGCTTTGAGTGTGGGTGTGACATAGAACCACAGTATAAGGCAGAGATCAGTAAAGCAAGCAGCCCATCTCTCTGCCAGTGATCCAACCTTTGGGTTAGTTGCTTCTTGCTCACCATTCTGAAAACACCACAAGTATCAGTTGACAGCTTTCCCCTCTTACCTTTACTTCTTGTTTCTCAGTGCTAGAATATCACTAGCAAGGACATAAAACTTAAGTTTAATGACTTGCATGGCTTAAATTGCCGTCAGTATTGCCAGAACTCATGCCTGGTTTGCTGTCTACAGCTTCTTTTTCAGAGAGAGTGCGAAACATGTCTCCAGATGAGATCAAAATCCCTCCTGAGCCTCCTGGCAGATGTTCTAACCACTTGCAGGTTGGTATAAGTCCATTTCCACTTTTTTTTTTTTTTTTAAAAGAAGGCTAGGGAAAGGGATATTTGGGGATTCTCCTCAGTATTTGTGCACAAGTCAAACAGTATTAAAGCTGGGTTTTTGCCACACTGAGTTTATGATTGCGCTGTGTTAATGCTTTAGACTTTACAGCTATTCTCCTTTAGGAATCTCAAAGTAGCTTCAAGCTGTTTTCCAGTCTCTGTGGTTCACTTGCTCTTGCTTTAAAATGGCTCTTGATCCCACCAGTGACACAGGAGCAATGTTTATTGTGAGAACTGCTATCCTCTTACCTCAGCAAATTCAGCTCTGTAGGAAAGAACAAATCATTGTTTTTCTGTACGGGCCTGAGAATCCTCTAACTGGAATAGTTGAGGCAGCATTGACTGGATTCCTTTTCCACCTACATATCTCTAGATGATAAACATTTAGAGGGAAGGCTAGTAACTTAGAGGCAGCAAAAGAAAACAAATGCATGTTTTCTCTGGTGCACACCCAAATAATTGCGTTAACCGACTTTGTAATAACCTTCTGCTCTGTTTTCCTCCTCCTGATGGAGGGCAAAAGAAAGAGCAGGGGCTGCTGTTTCCTACCATCCAAGTTTTAACTGCAGTTACCTGCCCAGTAGACATACAAGTAAAACATCACTTCTGGAATTGTCTATAAAGTAAGCTACTAATGTGCAGTGGTGATTCAGAATGACTCACTGTCCAGATCATGCTTTCTTCTTCTCTGCACAGTGTACCTGGGCACACCCGTTCCTCCTCTTGTGCTGTAGGAGGATTTTGCTGTTCTGACATCAATGAATCAGAGTGCGTTAGATCTGAGGAATGCACAGAGCTTGAGAGAGTGGACAGAATAAAGCAGATTTTCTTCCCCTTTGACAGCAGTTTACTGTGTTAAATCAAAGTAGAACTTGTCCTCTGTTAGCAGGTCAAACCACATCTTAGAGCACTTTGAGCAAGGAGATGGGATTGCTCTTCAGAGATTCAAAATGTTCTAGGCTTTTCACTGTTGATCTGCTCTTTCCTTTTGTCAGCTTCTTCCTCTAATAAACTGTATCTTTAGCTCTGCCAGAGGGAGTATTTCTTATTATAAAGTTGACCAAGTAGTTCCCTATCTGTGGACTTTGTGAACCACATCACAACCTCCACGAGGAGCAGACAAAAGGGAACATCTGTTCAATCTTTTCCATTCCCCAAATTCCTCCCCTTTGCATTTTTTCTTCAAACCTCATGGTGTGTACGCTGGATGTGATGATTGTTTAATTTCTTCTTGCTAATTTTATGAGGACCTGATGAAAATTTATCTTAGAAAGCTTTTTTTAAAGTTGATGAAATAGGAGTTTCATATCAGCTCTTAACAGACCTTATTTATTCGGGCATCAGCAAACACTTAGACAGTAGTCAGTTCTGTATTTGAGTTGACTGCCCATACAGAGGGAAACATGAAGTGACTTATCCAGAAGCAACAAAGGAAAATTGACTCAACTCTCCCATCCTGAAAGACTGAAGGCTTAGCCTCAGATCTTACTTCATATGCTTCTTGTACGTGAGAAATTTGTGTCAAAAAGAAAAGATTAAGGAAATTTCTGAGAATATTCTCCTAGTAGTACCACTAAAGTTGCCTTTCACAGGGGCTTGTGGCTTCACTAAGATACTTGTGGATGTGGGAACTATGTGAGTGATCTGCAAAGAGACGCTGACTCCATCTAACTGGCCACTTGTGCCCAAGCAGGGATTTAAATCAAGTGGCAACCAAGTGCATCATTCCTAAGAGCATTAGGCTGCCAGTGGACACCACCAGAAGTACCTGATGATCACATCGGTTTTAATTCTCCAGCAGAACTTGACTTGGCTCATCTGTTACCCAGGCATAGCTGTGAGCCTTGACTTCTGCACAGTGTAGCCCAGCAACTCTTTTTCATCGGCATGACTGAGTCTGGAGGTGAATGTGATGGTGACTGTAAGTTGTGGGAGAACCTTTGTGGATTCCTCCTGTCCCTCTTGAAGCTGGCTTCTACTTCTCTACAGCCATTACTATGAAGGGAATCAACAGACTGAGAGGAAGAAGTGTGCACAACTGCCTCAAATGCAGATCTTTGATCACTGAAGCCTTCAGAAAGTGCAAAGATCAGTTCCCTTACCCATCCAGACAGTTCATGAGTTACTTTCAGACCTTAAAGGAGGGAGTGTCTGTACTAATCAGCCTACCTGGCCTTAGGGGAGAGGTGAAATCCTTGCTCCATGCAAGGTCAGTGGTTCAGTTGGCTTATTTCCACATGTGCACTTTTGATAGTCAGCTGGTGTGCTCCTCCTTTTCTTACTGGCTCACCCTGTAATCTCTCTCTTAGGATAAAATTCAAAAGCTATATGAGAGGAAAATAAAAGAGGGCATGGATATGAACTACATCATTCAGAGGAAGAAGGAGTTCCGCAACCCCAGGTAAGCCACTATCTTTTCCTGGGTAACCAGAGCACCACACAACTCCTTGTTGGAGTTGTAGCAGAAAACAGGATCCTGAGCAAGAAGTACTAGAGGTTACAAAAATGAGAAAGGCAATTTGATTGTAACTGAAACAGTAAAACTCTTATTTTTTTTTTTTTTATTCTGTGAAGCAACAAATAGAGTTGGTGTGTTGGTTAGATTTTACAGGCTTTGGATGAAATATTTTAGACGTGTCTGTTCTGGGAGATTAATTTTGGGGAAGAGAGAAATGGTAGGTAGTGGTGTATCACATCCATCATAGCAAGTGTAGCTTCCCAGGTTCTGATTTTACTCTGGCAGTGTGAAGAGATGACAACCTCTTCCTGTTAACAAATCTGAAACGCTTGCTTTACTTCTAGCTCACTGGCTCTTGCCTTTCCTTTGCAGCATCTATGAAAAACTGATCCAGTTTTGTTCGATTGATGAACTTGGTACAAATTATCCAAAGGTGAGTTGCAAGACTTTTGACTAGGAAGGGAGTGGGTATAAGATAAAATAGGAGTGTAAGGTCTTACCTCAGTCTTTTTTGAGCCTGCCTGTTTCAAAGTCCTTTAAGGAAACTTCAGTCTGAGCCTCTACATTGAAGTGAACATTTCCATGTGCCTCCAACTTTACTATAATGATTCTAAACAAAAACTGCTGAAGTATGTAGATATACATGGAACTCCTTGGGGGGGATATAAGCTGAGCAGCAGCAAAATGTATGACTTATCCCAGTGTCCTGTTGGCTTCAAAGCTCTTTCTTCATTCGCAACAGAACAAAGGTCTGATGTGATTTTTGTGTCACTGGGATACAAGAAGAAATCAGTAATGAATGTCATCAGTGATACAGAACACACCAACAGAAATACATAGAACATTTTTGAACTGGATTTTGTGCATATGTGGAAATAGCCCTAATCTGATGTATTTTTTTTCTTTAGGACATGTTTGATCCTCATGGCTGGTCAGAGGATTCATATTATGAGGCACTAGGTAATTCCATGAAGTCTTTTTTTTTGTCCTAAGATTAGCTCTTTGTGTTTTGTAGTTAATTAAGTGCACTAGAGTCTTCACTTCCTTTATAAATGAGAAGTCATCACATGCTGCTCTTTAACTACTTAATTCTGGTTGGATGTGCCTGAATGTTGTTGATGCTTCATCAGTCTGGAAAGCCTTTTCATTTAAATTGGCTCTTCAGTGTTTTCATCTCTTAAATTATTGATTTAGTGCAGTAATCCTTTGATTAAAAAGCAGTAGTTAGTTTCTTGGCAGTTTTATTTTCTATATGCAATTTGAAGTTTTTGATTGTTTGTGATGGGAAGTGTGTGAGTGAGAGAGAACTATGTATTTTTACTGTTCCCAGTAAAGTTTCTTGTAACTTCTGATCTTTCTCAGCTAAAGCCCAGAAGATTGAAATGGACAAACTGGAGAAGGCCAAGAAGGAACGCACAAAGGTAGCTATTCAAAACCAAAAGAGATGGAGATGCAGGGTTTTTGTTTCTTTCCCTGCTGAATTACATTTTGTAGCTTTGCTGTTTCTTATGAACTGTGCTCTGTGCTAATACTGTTTGTTTTTCTCTTGCTCTGTCCTTTCTTCTTGCATGTCTTTTTCCAAGCTCCACAAATCAAGTTGTTTGCCCTTCCTTATAATTCCATTTCTCTAGGTTGTTTACTCCACTGGATTTCCTTCTGTTTTGTCAGTATTTTTAAACCAGAGCTCTTAAAATGGTATTCAGTAAGTCAGATACAAGCAAGATAATGCATAAAGAACAGCTTTTTTCTTAATCTATGACACTTTGCCTGGTTGCATAGCCTAGTTATAGCTTAATGTCCTCACCATATCTCATTGTGAGACAATATCTGCTTTCTCTTCTCCTTGATTCTGCCTTCTTGCATCTAATTTCCAGAAACATTGGGCCTAATTTAACTTTTAACTGGGCTTGTTGCAAAATGTACATTGTGTTGTGTGTGTGACCCCCCCACCCCTAAAGAACACAGACAGACTTTGGAAGATTTTATTCCTGTTCTTCAGTGGTGTTGGCTTTAAGCTAGTGGCTGGCATTAGAAAACTGTCTGATGTTAGAGATTGCTCTCTAACCTTGCAGAAGGCTCCTTCCGTATTCAGTATGTGGAGGGGTTTTTTATTTATTTAATTTTTTTTAGTGCATGCTGTATCTTGTTTTGGTTTTTCGCACAGTAACCCAGGTATCTGATGATATCCTTGCCCATATCTGCAGTTTTGAAAATATGAGAGTGCATGCTGTGGTAGCTCTTGTTGCTAGGTTTCCTGCTATGATGCAGTCGCGGTAAATCGTGCAGGTAGGAACTTGTCTTGCATGTTTCTTAAAGGAAAAAGAACAGGAACTACTAACTGTATAAGTACATTCTTTAATGACCAGGATCTGTCCTTTCTGAGCTATATCAAATTCCTATGCTTATACCAGTTAACAAACACGTTTTTATTGTATCTGACTTAGGAGCTGGATTGCAAGAATCCTTAAATGATCATGTAAGCTTTGGCCTGAGGTCTACATCTTTCTTCGTGCATGACAGTCAGCCTGAAGGCCAATGTCTTACATGACATTAAAGTTGTTCTTAAAAACATAGAGAAGTGATGTGGGTTAGAAAAAGACTGTCTATATTAACAATTAATTTTCATCTTTTCCCCTTTCTCCTGTGTGTCTCTCCCTTCCCAGATTGAATTTGTGACTGGCACTAAAAAGGGTACAACAACAAGTGCCACTTCTACAACGACCACAACAGCCAGTACCACTGTGGGAGGTAAAGAACAGTTGTGATTGTACCTATTAAGCTGCAGTAATGCTGGGACTAGTGCTTCCTGGAAACCCTGAAGGCTCCTTATTGGCTGTATATGTAACATTCCTTCCAGGAGCTGATGGACTAGCTATTCTCTAGTCCCTATATCTCATGGCTGTCCTTCTGAAATGAAAGCTTAGGATGCAGGTTGGTTAGTGAAGAGGTTTATTAGTGCATCAAGAAACCTGCTGATGTTTATGGCTGTAGAGTGTTCTTGGCACTGGTACATCTCAAAAGATCTGGAAAGGTTGAAAATTGTTCTCCTGCCTACAGCTTGCCTTTTAAACTGGGAAGAAGGGAGAAAAAACACTGGAGGCTGATGAGCATGTGTTGTGCCTGTACCTGAGCAGCTGAGATATGCGAGCTCTCTTAGAATTAAATATGCTCTTGGGCAGGGAGTGAACCTGTCTCCCATTTGGCTGGAGTTCAGGTGCAGAGTTTTATTTTGACTCTGGAGGTATAAAGTTGTCTTTCCTCCTCAATATTTGCTGCCAGTGTATGTTGAAATTGATGTGAGGGAAGGTTGTCTAGTCAAGCAGTGGTACATGAAGAGTTGACAAGATGGGGTGTTAGGAAGGGATTGGTGGCCTTTAACAGAATACTAATCCTCATTTGCTTGATCTAATCAAATTCACAGATGCCCAGAAGAGGAAGAGCAAATGGGACTCGGCCATCCCTGTAACAACGATAGCTCAGCCCACCATCCTCACCACCACTGCAACACTGCCAGGTGTTGTCACAGTGACAACCAGCGCAAGTGGATCCAAAACTACAGTCATATCAGCTGTTGGCACCATTGTGAAAAAGGCAAAGCAGTGACTGGTATGCTGGGCCTGGATTTTCGGACTTAATAGTCATTGAAGCCATTGTTCTCGGAAGGGAGGAGTAGCTTTCGCCTTTGGTAAAAGATGACACAGTTCTTTGAAACAGACCACAGTTCCCTTTTGAAAGACCGGGGGCAGGAGCAGGCCTGCCAGCTGTGTGCCCACAGGAATGGACCTCTGCCGAAAATGCCTCTGTCTCTTCTTGCTGTGGGAAGAACCAGTCTCTGTGTGTTGTGCTGGAGGAAGGTGGTATCTAGTGTCAGCTTGTAAAAGTTAGCTTATTAAATTACTGTGTTCAGTTCTTCTTTCCTACTTGCAGGTCTGGTTTGGGCAGGGAGAGGGAAGGCAAGTAGTGAAGGAATATCAGTGTTACCCTTGAGTATTCCAGGTCACACTCAGAGGCTGCTAGCAGCTTGTGATATATGCCTCCCTCACGTGTGCTAACTCAGTTCCAAGGGAATTAAAGCAAAGTCAATTGGTCAGTGTCCATCTCCAAATGTGTACCAGAGACTTGAAGTGATCTACATCTACAAGTGTAGACTCACTCTTTGTTACAGTACTGACATCTGTACCTATGTGCATATCTGTGTAGATCCCAGTGACCACGTGTTAAATAGTTTTACTCTTGAGGAAACTGTGCTGAAAGCATCTTGTTACCTGTCTTGCAGGGATGGAGATATTGATGCAGAACCCATAAGCTGTAGAGGTTTGATTTGTGAACTCATTTGCAAAGACCTGTGCAGAAAACTCTTCCATTGCCATGGAATGAGATTGGACAGCAGATAAGCAGAGGAGAGAACGTCTGATCATAATTGTGATGTTGTCCATCGTTGTACTAGATAGTGACGTCCTGTGAAATGCACACATGGCAGTTACTGCTTGCTCCACTGTTGTGATAAAGTTATTTTCGGTTGAAAGTTTTATTGTATAAATCTTCTTACCTGTGTAGCAAAAAATTATTATAAAAATGGAAAGTCTTTAAAAAAAACAAAAAAATCCCTGGTGTCAGTAATGTGTCTGCACTTTTCATCTTAGCAAGGGAGAATCAGCATCCACTTGTTGTGCTTTGGGTTACAGGTACTGTTAGGTAAGTATGTAATAATTCCATGAGAGGGGGAGTGGCATGAAGGTTTTTTCACATTATGGATTTTTTTTTTAAATCTCAGACTTGGAAGAGGTGGGGCAGGGGGAATAAATTGAGGCATTAAACTGATTTTGATTGGAGATGCTTTTGTTGTAGAGGGTGTGCTGGTAATTCAGCTGTTCTTAATGCTGGTTTTTTCAAACATATTTCTGCATCAAAAGTACTGCTGGTGCTGTCACCTGGGTCTTTCATAAAACCTTCATCTATAGAGGCCAGTCTATAAAAAGGAGCTCAACAGCAATGAAGTTATTTGTTTATTTTTTTGAGGTAGGTGGGATAAATAACTTGAATGGTTCCATTTGTGTAGAGAAACAGCTGCTAACCTGGACTTTTTTTCTCCTTTGCAGTGGCCACTCTGGATTATTTAAATGGCCTTTAATTCTTAGATCATGATTTTTCAGATTCAGTAATTTTTGTTTCCTATTGTTTTACGTTAAATTTCTACCCAGAGCCTGTTTGTTTGGTTTTTTTTTTTCTAGTGCAGAGGCAGTGACAGGAGGGAAGGCTGCTAGATCAACAAAAGTGTAAATTTCCTAGGATTCAGCATTGGTTTTTCAGGTTTTTATATACCTTATTTTACTCCTGATCCAGGCTTTGCATTTATGGAGACTTAAGGAAGAAATAAGAGGTTGGTTTCCTACTTCTAAATCATTTAAAAAATATGTTAAACACTTTGCCTTGGCAGTCGTTTTGGCTTTAAAAAAAAAAGCATCTGTGTATCCAGGAATGCTCACAGGGGAGAAACCAAGGGACTGATGAGACTGTAGCATGGGAAACTGGGGAGATGGTGGAATTGCTCTTTTTTTAAAACCATTAAGTATTGAAAGGCATGAAAATAGCAAGATGGAAACATCTCTTCTGTTAAATAACTCAGCACTGGGGCTTCTGGCTTGATTCCTGCAAGCCTTAACTCCATCCTCATCCTGTGGAAGATGGTAACAGCTTCATTGGCCAAGGGGTATCTTCTGTTTTGGGACTGTAACATACTCTGCAGAGGATGACACGTTTCACCTCAGCTATTCAAGGTGTTTATTTCCTTGCCTTGAGGGACATAGTTTTCAGGGGTTTCTTTTAAAGGCCAAGGGTGGACTTGTCATGGGAAATACAAGCCATTAGGTAGCTTTGCAGCTCCATAAGGTGACTCTCCTGTCTGGAATGTCTTATACAATTCTGGTCTGTTTAAAGCTTGCTATGGTATAAATATCTATTTTAAAGTTTTAACATGTGGATGAAGGTAGAACAGTAAAACTGCAGCAAAGTGGGCACCAGCTGCTACAGTGTCTCTCAGACTATAGATTGATGACAAACTGGGCACCAGGAGAATCACTGCAATTGTTCTGCTCCTGTGAGTAGGGGTGAAGGTGTGTCTGGGCTTCAAAAACAACTAACATTCCTCTAATGAGTGTCCTTAATATGTGTGCTGTGAGCAAGAAGCTGGGTGAGATTAAATATCTGGGTGGGATGGGTGCCAGGACACAGAAATGCAGCCTCGTGCCAGAGCTATCGGCCACTCTTGTGCATCCCCTTCCTCTGTCCTGTCTGTAACTAACTGGTGGTGAGCACAAAGTGGGACAGTCTGATGAGGCTGCATTAATTTAACCCAATTTACAGATTAAGTTAGTTATAATGGAAAAGATTTTTTTGCCTTTTCTAGGAACTGACTGTCTCTTGCCTCATGTCTTGCAAGTCCTTGTAAAGTTGGATCAGAAGTGATTGCTGTGTCTCCTGACAGACAAAAAAAACTTTGCAAATGTAGGGTTTGGGGTTTTTTTTCAGACTGTTTACATCAGTGTGATGTGAAACTCCTTCCTGATTATCACTTCTGCCCAGTTTCTCAGTTTCTCTAGTTACTCTGAAAGATCTAGTAATTTGAAAAGAAGTTACATCAGTGTGATGTGAAACTCCTTCCTGACTCTTGCTTCTACCCAGTTTCTCTAGTTACTCAGAAAATTATTGGAAAAGATCTAGTAATTTGAAAAGAAATTATTCTATGGAAGTTAATAACTGCATCTGACTGATAATGCAGTAAAAGTAACTCCTGGTCCTCACCAGGAGCAACTATGCTAGATGAATTAGTTTGATTACAAGGAAATATTATTCACCTGGTTAAGCATGTCACCACTTGTTTCTTTGTCTGCTCTACCATGCTGGGCGAGAGGAGTAGCAAAGGAAAGTGTGTGTGTGAATTCATTTTCTTTGAAAGCTGCTACCAGAATGCAGCTGAACATGAAGCAGAGGAAAAGGTTTGCAGGAGGAGAAGGACTTGATTAAAAAAAAAATAAATAAGGAAGTGCCAATAGGAATAGATTTGCTGTGAATATGAAGCTGGGCTCCAGCCTGCTGCTTGGCACCTGACACAGGGCAACTGCTGGAGTTCTTGGGGATGAATCATTTAACTCCAGAACTACATTAAACTGCATTGTTTAAATACGAGTATCTTATTCATATCACACATCCTGGCACCCCACCCCTTCCTCTTCCATGCACCCCCTCTTCCTTACTGCTCTGCAGTTATCCATAGTCATTCCACACCTCTGGATTTCTTTGCAGACTTTATGAGCAGAGCTAAGAAGCGCTGCTCGTTTAGCTTCTGCCTTGCTGCCACAGGCACAGGGTGACCACAGCCAGCAGCTCTGTAGAAACAGGAAAATCAGGGCTTGATGCTGCTGCATAGAGGGATAAGGAGAAAACTTCCTAGAACTGGCTGTGCTGAGCAGAGATGGCCGTGAGGAGCTTTCAAACAGGCTTCTGCAAGAGACCTGGCTCAACTGGACTGCGCTCTTGAGCTCTCACGACTTGAGTGTTTGCTGTCTGCAGTGGAGAAAGCAATTTGAAACATGCATGATTTGATGTTTATTATTTTTTTTAGTTTCCTCTCTCTTTCTCCAAAAGCTGGAATGGAGACACCAACCCCTGCGTAGCAAACTTGCAGCCAGTACAATAGCTCGCTGCTCGTGTTTATCTTGTGTGTTGCTATCGGAAGTAATAGATGGACACACAGGTTGGAAACTACAGTTCTAGGAAAAAGCCTCTTTCCTACCCCTGTGAATGTCACTGTAGAGGTTGGTGGCTTTTACTTGTGGTCAGTGCACCAAGGAAAGGTGGAGGCAGCTTCAGACGTGCAAGAGCTGTGTCCTGAGGGAAAAGGATCCTTTCCTGCCCTATGAAACCATGGCCTGAAGCCCTCAAATGGGAGGTTTGGCTGGTTTGCTTGTTAGAAATCTGTATGGCTGTGGTTGTATCGGGGCTGTGTGAGGGACCCACTGAGTGTTTTAAGTGCCTTTGTTTTAAAAGCCCCTAAGAACTGCAGGCAGCATCCGAGCTGCACTGATGCAAACTCACAGCTTACACAGCTAAAAGGTTTTTTCTGCTGCTGCTCCAACAGTGGTTGCTCAGGCTGAATTTCAGACTCCTAAAAGCTGTAGATATTCATTCCTACCTCTCCTCCCAGAGGGAGACTGAGTATACCCAGGAGAATAACACCCACCCCATTTTTGTTATTCCTTAATCTCAGAATTGCAGGCTCCTGCTCCTTCAGAACCCCAGGGCTTCTCTCTGTTCACCACCCTTTCGAGCAGGGGTGTCTCCTAGCTTGGGTAGGTTTGTTTTAGCTGAAGCTCCATGTTCAAGCGTGTCTCTCTGCCATGCCGAGCTGCCCAGTGGCGGCAGGAGAGCTGCTGTGATGAAATCATCCTTGGCAGAGTTGGTTCTGCTCTCGCCCTCCTTTCTGAAGTCTGTTCTCCCACCTCCATGCCCTGAGGTGTCGATTTGCTTTCCCCTTGTTGTGATGTCGAGATCCATCCTCCTTTGATGCCCTTGTGGGAAGGGATTTTGTGTCTTGAGGATTTGCTTTTTATTTTATGTCTCGCTGGGTGCTGCCTAACCGAAAGAGCAGGTGGGGAGGGGCAGCCCTTGCCAGCCCCACCTCAAACCGTAAAATGTAAGCACCTGAAGCTATGTTTTAGTTGGATTGCTGGTGTCTGTTTAATGAGACCTATTTATTAAGATTTAAAAAAGAAAAAAAAAAAAGGAGAAGAAAAGAAAAAGTCTGCCTTGCCAAGGCTTTGGGCCATGCCAAGCCTTTGCTGATGACACAGTCAGCTCTAGCAGCATGGAGGGGATCGCTTCAGCCGGCATCCAGCCAGCCGACACCTGCGTCAGCTCCTTTCCAGCTCCTCTTCAT